ATTAAAACAGTAGGAACCAGCAGCTCTCTGTGCACGGGAGTTCAGGAGCACCAGAGAACTCCTGCAACTAAAGGAAGCACTTCTCACTACCAGAAGCATCTTTCACACCACCACCTGCACGCACCATGTCAGACCACACGCAGATGTCGCTGTGTGACAAATACCAGATCCATCATGGCCTGACACACAAATCTCATTGCACAGGTTTCCAACAACACAGAGCTCTGCACAAACCCACAGATAATCAAGGACATTTCCTATCGGTGGGCTACTGAGTATGCAACTACTTCAGTGTTACGGCTGCACACATTTGGCACTACAGCTCACCGAGAAGCACAGACAGATCCACGAAGAAGGCAATGCTGACTGTATACAGGAGAGGCATTTTCAAAAGACAAACTCTTTAATTTCCTCCATTCTCCTGCCGAGCTCTATAATTTTCTTCTCCTGGCAGCAATTACAGTGAAGCTATACAGCATCAGTAAGATTTTACATTCATATGGTTATTGTTTCTATAACCAAGAAACCCAAGATGTTATTGCTGAAAGGATATATATATATATTTAAAACAATTGTGAACCTGCTACCTAACTCTCCACTACATGACCACTTGTATCATCACTGCAACCTCAAACAAAAAATAATCAGTACCAGATCTGCACGATATGTCAGTTCACAAGTCATTTTGTAAAGGAGTGCTGTGAGTCAGGTCATAAAGAATGCTATTTGTCACACCATCTGGTTTGATACAGAGCGATGTACTAAGCTTCATGTTTTTCACTAACTTTTCACTGTGCAGCATCATATTCTTTTTAAGTATGAGTTCAGTGGAGCTAATTATGCCATGATGTATTGTCAAATGTACATCTGTAAAAATCCCATGCTGTCCTTCAAATTCACACTTCAACTTCCAGAATCTGAGCCAATATCACAGAATTGTAGGGGTTGGAAGGACCTCCAGAGATCATTGAGTCCAACCCCCCTGCCAAAGCAGGTTCCCTACACCAGGTAATATTTCTTCACGAATCTATATATGATAACATTAGAACTCTAACATAACCAAACCATGACTCTATCCATTCTGATGTAATTGAATGACTTGTATCTTCTGAGTCCTATTGCAAATTCAATTTCTGAAGTAGCAAAAATGCATATTTACATAAATACATGTCGACCTAAAATAAACAGGCATACCCTTTTACTGAATAATTAAAGTAATTCTGGTAATTACTTATTTGAAACAAAAGGTAAAATCCTTGTGAAGTGGTACTTCACTTCTGTCAAGTTGCAGAACATTTGTATACCTCAGAACAGTGGTCAAATGATGCACCTAGTGTTATTTTTGTACAAGACTGGAAGAGGGTGGATTTCAGCTACCATGCTAGAGCTGAAAGGATTCACACTACATTTACCACAGTAAATGGGAGTTATTAGTTATTAGTTATGACAGTTTTCTGGAGTAAGTTAGAGTCCCACAGATACAGCTTTTACACAAGCCATCCAGCCGTTTCCTGACATTGAAAGTTTCTCAGTGATTTATCATGCACAAGGGGAGAAAATGAACAGCACAACCTAGCACTGTCAGCATAAAGCAGCCAATGTAGAAGACACAATGTTGCTTAAAGATGAAGATTTTCAATCTATAAAAGATTATGCCCTCATCCAGCAACCCTTAAGTAGATTCATAATTGTAAATTGGCAAATAGTTTCAATGAAACCCAAGACACTATTAATTTACTTAAGTGATGCACATGCTCAAGGCTTTGTTGCATCATAATTTGTGAGGATGTCATAGCACAAATCCCTGTAAGGCTCTCTGTTATTGTAACTCATTATTAGCTTAATTACTGCTTGTATTTTGTTGGAAAGCTGAGACTGAATGCACATTTGCTTTAGTAGCATCCTGCTCATTTCAATATAATCCAGTTTGTTACCATCAATGGCATTTGAAACTGTCAGAGCCTCAAACTTATGAAGCTCTATGACTTTGCTTTTAAGAACATTAGTCTCAAGGAGATGTCTGTTAACAACTAGAACACATAAACACTTATACTGATGCTGAAGGACACAAATCCAGCTACGATCAAAAAGTGTCAGTAAGAAAACTAAGGGACCTAGGAGCAAAGTGAAGGTGATCAGCAGTTATAAATAAACATGCTTTAATATTTTACAAGTTTTTTCTTTTGAAAGATTTTTTTTGATGACTCACACTTTGATGACAGTTTAGCCACCTGTTATTAGTCATTCCCATTATTATTAGAGCCATACCACCATGCATCCAAAACTCCAAAGTAAAAAATTACCTTATGACAACCAAGGAGTAGATAAATTAGCAGCCAATAAGCCAAGATATCTGCGTGGCTGGTGAAAAACAGAACCACAACTTCCCTTTTCAATAGGAAGGTACAGATTGTGAGAACTTCTGGCACAAGCCACAGCGCTCCATTAGAGCATGAATTAAGTCTTGTCTTCACACCAGACAGAAACTGAGCAGAGCATAAGTCTGTAGTCTCTCCAAGATTCCTCTAAAGATGACAAACACCTCCTACAAAAACGTTAAGCTACACCACACTGCAGCCCATGCCTTCTTCGACTATCTAAGCTTAACAGCCAGCTGTCAGTGCAGCCCTGGCTTTAAGGAACTGACCCACAAGGCAGTTGAAGACATTCTTAGGAAACAAAGGAGGCAACCTGGGCGCTTTGGTCTGGTGCTATCCAGACAACCACATCAGACAATGTATGCAAAAATATTTGTAATATTTTCAAGGAAAATATTTACCTCTGTAGTAGTTGGAAAGTATTTTTTAATTTCCAGTTCATAATTATTTCTGACCATTTAAATTAACTTATTTTCCTGCTTTACTAAACTAGTTCTCGTCCTGCAGCTTATGCCTTTCATTTGCTTACAGAGGAAGAGCACATTGTTTCAATCACTTTCAAAAGCTAGGTACTTCCAGCCTCCATTGTAAAAGAGGTCCTTGTCATCCTTGTAGTCTAACTCTGTTCTTTTTCAGTTCTGAATTCCTGTTAAACAGAAATCCATACATTCAGACTTGGCGTATATCTCATCAAAACATTTTCAATTTATAAAACAGAATATATATTTTTTACAAATATATATGAACACATATCTTATTTATATTTCTATATATTTATATTAAAAATATATTTTTAAAATATCTTACTGTCTGGTTCCAGTTGACTGCAATTCTGTTTGCATAACCGAAGAGAAACACACAGAGGAACACAACGGACAGGAACCACGCAGTCACTGCTACAAACATTACCCATCCCTGCAGCAGTGGCAGTGGAACTTGTGTAGAAGCTACCAAAATCCAGACTATTGTTCCAAACAGCTGTAAGGAAAGGAATACAGGTGATGAACTGAGAAATAACTTTCAATTTTGTCCTCTCCCCCCAATTAGCACTTTATTTATCAGCACCTTGTATCACAAATCAAGCCCTGAGATTGCTTTCAGAAACCTAGAGGAGACACTTCAAGAGTACTCCTTCCACTACTTGAAGTAGGGAGCTTATGTAAACAGGAGCCCCTTTTAACATGGGCAGGTGGTAATAGGATGTAATGGGGTAGTAATGGGGGAAAGGAGATTTTGATCAGATGTCAGCAGGAAATTCTTTATTCAAAGGATGGTGAGGCACCGGCACAGCTGCCCAGAGAAGCTGTGGATGCCCCACCCCTGGAGGTGCTCAAGGCCAGGTTGGATGGGGCCCTGGGCAGCCTGATCCAGTCAGTGGCAGCCCTGCCCATAGCACAGGGTTAAAACTAAATGATCTACAAGGTACCTCCCAACCCAAGCCATTCTATGGCTCTGTGATTTCTAAGAGCCCAACTGCTGTTCTCACAAACTATAAACACTAGGCAGTGGCTTGACAAAGCCTCTCTTAAAACAGTCTTGAAAAAGGGACTGATGAACTCAGGTAACTTCCGTGCTGTTGCTGAATATTTTAATATATATATATACACACACTCTCTGAAGTTAGAATGATAGGGATACACATCAAATTTGGATTCAATCTCATACTGTTTAGTTTTGTAGTTGTAATCAGATGAGACATATAAAGGAGATGAAATGGCATCGTCTTTTTTAATGTATTTGTAATAAAATACTGAAAGAGAATACATTAAGTAATGAAGTGTAAGAGAAAGCTAGACTAAGAGTAAGATGAGTTATAAATAATGGTGTGTTGACTAGAAAAATACACAGCTTTCCAGAATTATTGTTAGCTAGGGGAAGAATTCAGCAGTGCTAATTTTCTTTTCAGCATACAGATCTAACAGAATGATTAGTGAGGATACTGTACTATGATGATCTGATGGAGAATTTACACTCTAAGGTTTGCCTGGCTGGCCTAGCAAAAGATACCATCTCTCCTGCAAATCATGCCTCTTTATGATACCTGAAAAAACAAGTAATTAGCATCCTAGGTGTACTCATTTATTATGGAAAGGTCATAATCCAACCTGCTGCTGGATAGCTACAATTAATTTCAAAGCAAGCTACTACTTTCTTGCTCAAGTCCTACAGATTTAAAACTACAAGCTCAGAGGCTACGCCTTCAAAGCCAGAGAACTTTCCTTGAATAGAGGTTGGAAAGGAGACATCTTCCAAAAGAAGCCGCTACAAAATTAGTTACAATCAGTGACAAAATGAGTTGGGTCCTCTCTAGCCTTACGTTGCAGCTGCGTGCATGTAAAACGCATGGGTAGCCTCAGCTCAGAACTTCCAGCAGTTCGTGGATGGGCCTTCAGGTTGCTCTCGGGGGTCCCGTTTTTAGCTGTTGTGCAGAACCAACCTTTCTCCAGTTTCACCAGACCGCAGGTACAGCTCTGTTATGTACAGACCAGCCAGCGATGGGCAGCGAGGAAGCAGAAAGGGCAGCAGGCAGTGTGTGCTAATCAGAACGCAGACGCGTACGAAACGCTCCCACTACTCAGAAGGTGGAACTTTGTACCTTCATAAAATGAGCTGTGCCAAGATTCTTCCCCTCCACACTACTCGTGCCAGACACTAAACTCAACGGACATCAGCCCTATCTACTTCAACACATCTTCCGCACACGCTAAATGCACTTGAAGGAGTTCGCACAGAACCCGTAACACGACCAGCGCAACTTTTCAGGGTCGGTTCTTGGGTGCGAAGCTCGCACACAGCCGCCCCGGCACGGCTGCACGCACAGCTCCGCCTTTCCCCACACGGCCGCTCACAAAATGGCAGGTGAGGCGCAGCGCGGCGCTACGCACGGCTGCCCACGCGGTGGAGCCGCAGCCAGGAGGGCGCGAGTGCGGCAGGTGGAGGCGGCGGGCAGGGAGGGCAGCGAAACGCCCGACGAGGGGAGCCCGGGGCAGCCCGGCCCGCGCACTCACGATCTCCAGGAAGATGAAGGCTCCCGAGTAGGTGCGCAGGATCTCCAGGCCGGAGGGCAGCGTGACCCGGGGGGGCGGGAAGTAGGCGACGGTGTTGGGAGGCGGCGGCGGCGGCATAGACGAGGATCCTCTGGGCAACATGTTGCTGCTGCTGCCGAGCGCGGCGGGGACGCGGAGCCGCGGGCAGGTGGGCGAGGATGAGGAGGAAGAGGAGGGCGGCGGGAGGAGGGAACAGGTGCGGGCGGGCCTCCGTGCACCGCCCCGGCCGCCTCCCTCTCCTGCCCTCCCTGCGCCGGGCCCGCCCCGCTGCTGGAGGGGCAGCCCCGCTGCGGGCTGTGCTGGGGAGCAGCGCCGCTGGGGGTGTTGGGAGGCGCGCAGGGTGTCTGCGGGATGGCTTAGCATAGAATCAGAGCTACCGCGCTTGTCTTCTCCGGAGCGAAAAGACCCGACTCCTCAGTGTCTCCTCACAGAGCAGGTTCTCCAGCCTTTTGGTGATCTTCATCCTTTGGGCCCTCTCCAGACTGTTCAAATGGTATCCTGGGTTCCATCAGAAGAGGGGTGGCCAGCAGGGACAGGGAGGTGATTGTCCCCCTCTACTCCGCTCTTGTGAGGCCTCATCTGGAGTACTGTGTCCAGGTCTGGAGCCCCCCGTACAAGAAAGACAGGGATCTGTTGGAGAGGGTCCAGAGGAGAGCTACAAAGATGATCAGGGGACTGGAGCACCTCCCCTCCGAAGACAGGCAGAGGGAGCTGGGCTTGTTCAGCCTGGAGGAGAGAAGGCTGTGGGGTGACCTCATTACAGCCTTTCAGTACCTAAAGGGAGCCTACAAACAGGAGGGGAGTCAACTCTTTGAAAGGGTTGATAACTGCAGGACTAGGGGAAATGGTTTTAAGTTGAAGGAGGGAAGATTTAGGTTGGATGTCAGGGAGAAGTTCTTTACAGAGAAAGTGGTGAGGTGCTGGAACAGGCTGCCCAGGGAGGTTGTGGATGCCCTGTCCCTGGAGGTGTTCAAGGCCAGGTTGGATGGGGCCCTGGGCAGCTTGGTCTAGCATTAAATGGGGAGGTTGGTGGCCCTGCCTCAGGCAGGGGGTCAGAGATTCATGATCTTTGAGGTCCCTTCTAGCCTGGGCCATGCTGTGATTCTGTGATTAGTGGAACCAGAACTGGACGCAGTACTCCATACGCCTGCCATCTGACAAGCACTCGGTAAAGTGGGCTGATCACTTCTCTGTCTCTGCTAGTTATTCCCCCACAGACGGAGTTCAGTATCTGATTTGTCTTCATTGCTGCAACAGCAACACTGCTCACTCACGTTCAGCTTGTTGTCCACTAGTGCTCCAAGGTCCCTTAGAGCAAAGCTGCTCTCCAACAAATCTGAGGCTGTACTGAGCTCTGCTTATGTCATCCCAGGTGCAAGAGCTTGTTAAGCATCATACAGTTCTTGCTTCCCGCTCTACCTGCCTGTTGAGGTCTCTGTGTAATAGGGCTCTTATTTCTGATCTCTCCATCTCACCACTCAGTTTAGTGTCATCAGCAGATAAGGTGAGGGTGCTGTCAAGCCCAGCATCCAGGTAACTTATGAAGATGTTGAATGGTGTGGGGCCCTGATTCCTGGTGGATCCCACTTGTGACAGGCTGCCAGCATAAGTAAAAACACTAATTGCCACCTCTGAGTGCAGCCTGTTAGCCAGTTTCACACCCCACCTTGCAGACACCCATCCAATCTGTACCTTGCCAGTTTGTCTAGGAGAGGGCTGTTGATGTTGAGTTCCTTGCTGATGTCCAGGGAAGCAGTGTCCACTGCTCACCCCATCGGATTAGATGTTATTTTGTTCCAGAAGGTGATAAGGTTAGTCAGGTATGATTTGGATTTCCTGGTCGCCTGCTTCTTTTATCTTGTAATTTTTCTAGGATTACTTGTTCCATTGCTTTCCCAGAGACTGAAGACTGAAGGTGTCCACTGTGATGACAAAGTACTCAATGTCTTCATCTATGATTTAAAAGACTATGTTTTAAGGTTTCTTGCAAGTGTAGCTGCTCTGGAGGTTGAACCAGCAAGGGTGTTAATGTTGCATTCCTCTCTTGTCAGATGCATGATGTTTCTCAGAATTCTGCTTTTTCAATAACAAGAAACACCTCAACCTGAAATGCCTGTCCTCCCCACCTCAATCCAAAGTGTAGGTAGGGAAGCAGTCAACTCCTATAAACACAACTCATGTGTGCTTACAGCACATGTAGTATCTAGGTAGGGCGCTTCTACAAGGCAGTAATACTAGCTCAGCTTTGAAATCATGTCAGCTAGAGAAGAAAGAAGCATCAATTTGTATTTTATCATGTGCTCTCTCCTCATTTCTGCATTCCTTGTAGTTGGATGACTCTCTCCTAAAAGGTGCAAGCTGTAGATCCCCATTCAGATCCAGAGAAGCTTGGCCTCTTCTTTTCTGAACAGTTAAATCAGTTACCAGATGAGAGGAGTGATACCTCTTAAACCTCCTCTAGATGTATTTGAAAAATGAACGGTGTGTTCCATTCGTTTATTTTCAAGGAAGGATTCTAGACACTGGAGGCACATGTCAGTAGGTCCTGTCTTGGTTGTGTTTTGGAAGGCAGCAGGACTCGACTTGTGCCTAATTAATGACGTGTAGGTGGTTCTTTCTTGGGATTGCGTTCTGGAGACCATATGTCCAATTAACTTCACAGTCTGGCCATAAATCTGTTGAGATTGCCCTGCGCGGGTTGAAATCTGAGAGGGTGGAAATCTAGGTTGATGAGTTTATGATTTGGGACAAGAAATGTGATTATGCTTATCTTATACAGAGGAAATACAAGTAACACTCAGTCATGAACATTTCTATCTTTATTATCCAGCCACACGATCAATCAGTGTGGACTCCAGAAGCAAGGGATTTTTTTGATGATTACATACCGTATACAGTTTTTTTGTTTGTTTGTTTGTTTGTTTGTTTTTCCTTTTTGAATACCTCTCATTTTAATCTGCACTCTCCTTCTAGCACTTCTTCACTTTTAGTAGGCTGTCACAGTAAAGTCTAAATTTCACTGTTAGATCCATGGAGGTGTTCAAGGCCAGGTTGGATGGGGCCCTGGGCAATCTGGTCAAGTGTTAGATATCGAGGTTGGCAGCCCTGCCTACTGCAAAGTGGTTGGAACTTGATGATCCCTGAGGTCCCATTCTGTGATTCTATGATTCTGTGATTCTATGAAAGCAGATCTATAGCAATTCTTTTGCATAAATACAAATCTTTTAAATGAAAGTAGTTTAAATTATTTTGACGTTGTTTGGGCTATAAACATTACAGTGCCACCTGTGATTATATATCGATTCAGATATAGGCTGAATCTTTCAAAAATCTGAGTTCTGTAAGACATCAGTATCAGTATTTCATTTTGAAGTTTCCAATGGCAGAAGCCTCTGTTTGTGTTGGACAACTGTCTTTGTAGCATTTTTTATTATTTTTATTTTTTTATGTTGTAGGGCAAACTACTGCTGCCGTAAGTCCACCAGTCTCAACAACCAGATGGAAGTATGTTAATTCATTCTACATAAGAATGTCTGTTTATACCACCAAAGAGGCTAAAAGCCTCTCTTAAAATATTACATGAATATAGGCTGAACTTTCCGTTTAGTGTTCTGAACTGCTTACTGCAGCCTAATATAAAGTTGGGATTGTCATAGAACTGCAGATCAATTTCTGTCATTTTAAGATGAGAGGAGATACAAGTGAAAAAAATTACAATTCCAGCATTTAAAAAGCCCAAGTGTGTGTAGGTTACTACACATGGCAAGTCAGTAATTACAACAGTGAAAACACCAAGAATGGCACTTGCCTACAAGTTCATAAATTGTTGATAGTTAGTTGGTTTTCAAAATGAAGAGAGAGCCTTGGTATTTATTTAGCTGGACTTCCTGCAAAGTATATGGCTGAGGAAGTTAAACAAATAATCTACAAGATGCAGCAAGCATCAAAGGGTGCAGCTGAGGATCTAAATTCCAAGTATATTGGCATAATATGTGCCTACATTTAATATATATTGAAAAAGAAATATCTGGATATGAATGTCCTAATCATCTTCCTCCCTGAAGTGACCAACCATTAGACATAATGCACAAACACATGAAACTCTGTATTAAGCTACTATCTACCACATTGGTAGGGATTAGAAGAGAGAATTTTTTTTTTTTTTTAAAACATAGACATACATCACAGTGGATATGAAAATTAATTATATTGCAGTTCTATCTTTTGTGATACCCAGGGGACTCTATTTACTGATACATAGAGCTGCATGAACAGATCTCCTAAGACAGAGCAGAGCAAGGTTTTGCCAACAGTATCAGGATATGACTCTTTTTTTCCAGTTACTTTATTGATCCAGAGGAATTTGTCTATCAAAGCCTTATGTGTTTCTTTTAGATTCTCAAAGTTGCTATTTCTTAATCCTGTAGTTAGGTATGTTTCAATGGCAGAAAACAAGAAGCTGATTATATAAAATGCAGACTGTTTTGTATATGGATTAATTCATTTAATATGCTCCTGGAAACTGCATGCAGGACTCTGATGTCATAGTGATGGAAACTTGGAATTGTTACCCTTTAGCTGTTGTAATTAAACTGACATAAAGCTGGTGTGCATAAGATGAATGATAGGGAAACCTTTTAATGTCTTTTGCGTAATGTATTTGCCCAGTGGTAACAGAACTTTAGGGTCATGTTCAGACCAGTGCACATTATGAATTGGTGTACAAATACCACGTTGTTGAGGTTTCTTAAAAGGCAGCCTGGAAGTTTTTTTGTTTTTGTTTTTTAATATGCTTGGTCAGGATTTTGATTA